CTTGATTCGTGACAATTCTGTGAAATTATCCTTGATTAAAATTGTCCTTTCTTAAGCTTTGATAAGGGAATCAGAAATTATTTTTAAATGTTGTCTTTACGTGGGTAGCCTTGAACGTCTTTTCGGTTTAAGAAAATCCGAAAGAAAAATTCCAGGCGCTCTATCTGGATTTTCCCAGTTATTCAAATTACTTACACGGGGGCAACGTAACCATGTCACGTGTGTAAAATACGGGAATAGTTGCATAATCTATAGTGAAATAATAATTACAGATGCATGGACTTTGAGGGTTCTTTTGTCCACATCGACTATGTGGCTTTATTACTTATAAGGTTTAGGATCTGTGTTCTTATCTGGTATTTCAACACAAACTTTATTTTTTATCATCATACAGTTCTGGTTTTATCATATCTGAAAGTTATTAATAGGAAGTGACTATAGAGTGACTATAGAGTGACTATAGAGTGACTATAGAGACCGACCGATTGTGATTTTTCTGATTTCGGTCGAAACCGAAACCAAACCGAAAGTTAAAAATGACTTTCGGCCAAAACCGAAGCCGAAACCAAAAGCTTCAAAATACTTTCGGTCGAAACCAAAAGATTTAGGCATTATAAGATTCGTTCGCGCACACTTTCTGAGCCCATCGAAGTATGACGGGAAAACGTGTGCGGCCATTTAACAATCGGCTCTACAGTATCTTCGGAGTCTCGAATTCTACATTCGCAGTTTTCTTATAATAAATTAATTTCTAACATCGATTACATAAAGTATTTGTCTGACGGTGACGCTCAGACAGTTAACCCAACGAGGTGAACCACCGTTTTTTTTTCACTTTGACCTTTGGGCGTCGAGGGAATATATCGATATATTTAATTGCTATTTAGAAAATAAGATTACCGTGAATTCTACTAGAAAACATCTCCTTGAATACTTTTGGCTTTTATCATTTGCATTAAGAATTAATCTATAAAGTTGTTTATAAAATTAATTTTAAAGTGGTATGGTAAGAGAAAATTGGCCCCACCCTGTAGGGCACTTTTCATTTATATTGAGGGGCATCATTTTCGAACATCTGCAGAGTTTTTTTTCTTCGAGAAAAACGTGGGGGGGGGGGGCGGCTGTATAATTACTGGCCGGCCCCCGGGCGGCACTGTCCGTAGCTACGTCACTGTAATTAATTAACCAATGTCTAGGTTAGAAGGGAGAATGAATGATCAAGTATCAGTTATATCCCCAAGTGCTAGAGTAGTGGGGTCACCGGGACACCAGGAACAAATCTAGCTGGGCCGGTGGTATTTGGACCGCCGGGGTCAGCTCTGCCGATGGTGTATATGTACATTATTTTATGGCATCAGCGAGCCGTCGAACCAAACTGCTAACATGCGGTATAAACCGATGTTGTTGGTTGTTTTTTTTTTTAACTCCTTTGAGTAAAGCATTTTATCAAGTCTATCTGCTTACAAAGAGCCACAGGTAAGGCTGTAGCCACGGGTAAGGCTGTAGCCACAGGTAAGGCTGTAGCCACAGGTAAGGCTGTAGCCACAGGTAAGGCTGTAGCCACAGGTAAGGCTGTATTGTTTTCAAGGCCGGCGGCATATCTAGTAAACGCAAATGTTAAAACAATAATGCTCGACACACAATGTATTTCAAACTACTACGCGCTATTGAATGAGTTTAGTTTCTGTTTGAAAAACTTAGATAATAAAAATTGTAACAATTGATGATTAAAGTTCTACATACCTTTTTTAAAAAAAACGTTAAATACCAAAACAAAATGACAATTAATAAAAAGAATGATCAATACAATGATCGTGAGCCATTTAGTTATAATAGAAGAAGAAGGTGGAGGTATTCAATTTCCTGACTTTTGAACCCCGATCAATTTGAACGTCAAGCGTTCCCTTTACCATTAGACCAACAAAAAAAAACACCAAAAAAAACGAAGGTCAGTTTAAATATTTTGTAGACACAAATTGCTCAAATTTATATAATAACTTTATTTGCTCTAAAATAAATCGATTTAGAACTATTAAAAGCATGGCTCTAAGGATCTAACGTTTAATTAATGGTTCGTCTGAATATCAGCAAGTTTTGGTGGGGTTTTTGTTGTGCAATTAATGTCTCATTGTAAAGTAATTCGTGAAGTAATCTCTGAAGTAATCTACGACCACGGCAGGAAAAAAGCTGCCCTATAGGATACTACTTCTCAGCTAAGTGCTATTTTTTAAATTTAATTATGTTTTTTTTCTGTCGTTTGTTTGCTGACGAAGGCTTTCTGCCGAGACGTTCGTTGTTTTGTTGCGTTCCTTTTTTCAGTTTTGATCATACTTTTTTTTTTACACATTTCCATTACTGGGTAGATGTACAGGTTCACCGGGCAGGAACCCACGTGTTTTTAAATGGCCAGTGCCGCTGGCACCTGAGAAAATATCTGCTGAAGCGGTACTGAGCAGGACGCTCTTCTATATCTGTATGGATGACTTGTCCACCCACCGGCCAACCCACCCTATCCTATCCCTCTATTTTTGCCAAAACGAAGATAGTGGAACCGAACACATTTACTAAACAAATAGCTATTTTATTTTGATATCTGTGAATTATTTATTTCGACATCTGATGTGTGTGAATTCAAACCAGCTCCCCTTCCACATCCGTCATTGTGAAACCTCGTCCACTTTCAAAAAGTCCCTTAAAACCCATCTGTTTGGGTCCGCCTATGACCTGTGATGCACCCTCCTTGTCCTGCCTCATTTTCTGTCTCGGGTTGATCCTGTAGTATAGGCCAAAACGTGCCAAAGTGTCCTCGTTTTTATAGCCATTTTAATGTTTAAGCTACTCTTTCTATAGTCATTTTTCACATTGTAGTTACTATTCTAGTGTCTCTGGTTTTTCATTTTTTTTTTACTTTAGCAGTTTAAATAGTTTACATATTTTTAATAATTGTAGAGCGCTTAGAGCTGTAAGGTAAGCGCTATACAAAAATGCCTAAATAAATGAATTATGTGTGTCGACATCTGATCTATGTGAATGATTTGTGTCGACATAAGAACCTGAAATACATCGGCGAACCTAGGGTGAGAAGAAGGGGCTGACCATACCAGGTGGCATTTAGTTAAAAGGTACGCCACTTCTTAAGAAACGTGTTGGCTCTAGCTGCAACAAATAAATCAACAGCAAGCCAGGTGGGTTAATACATTAAGTGTTAACTGAAGGCTACGGGAGGCAACACCCGACTGAAACATCCGGAACGCTACGGGAGGCAACACCCGACTGAAACACCCGGAACGCTACGGGAGGCAACACCCGACTGAAACATCCGGAACGCTACGGGAGGCAACACCCGACTGAAACATCCGGAACGCTACGGGAGGCAACACCCGAC